AAGGTCAAAGAAAAGGTCAAGGTCAAAAAATGTTGATGCAGTTGAATAGCTCTCAATAGTATATCAGCATATGAAGTTTGATAAAAATATCTTGAATGTTATCTTTAAAACTGAGCTAAACACTAAGTTAGGAATAGTGAAGTCAAGGTCAAAGAAAAGGTCAAGGTCAAGAAATGTTGATGCAGTTGCATAGCTCTCATCAATATCTATCAGCATATGAAGTTTGATGAAAATATCTTGGATAGTTTCTTTGAAACTGAGCTTTTGAACTGAGCTAAACGCAAAGCGCGACAGAAGGACGGAAGATGGACATAACAAACACTATATGCCCCGGCCATACTCATGGCGCGGGGCATAAAAATTCCATCTAGTGATAAGATATGGAGAATCGAATCTATGAAATTAAATCTTTTAGACCCTGTTAACACAAAAAGCACAAAATAGGTCCTATTTTGGTTATGATACCGAAAAGAAAAAAAATGTTTAATTTTCCTAATAAATGTATCATAGTAGTATTGTACCGCATGTTGTAGCTTATTAGTTATTATTAGCTCAGTTAGAGATTGTGTGGGACCAGAACTGAAAGCCAGGGTTATTGTTAATACTTAATATGTGTATATCAATTTCAAAAGAATGACTGCACTTAAGGAAATGCAAAATTTGCGACAAAATAAATTTTCAAACCAAGCATTTTTCTTTTCATTGCAATAATGGTCAACATCCAATCTACAACTTTATGTAATTACGTTTAATAAAAGTGTGTATTTACGAAGTTCGAATCTGTTTTCAAAGGCAGTGGTGATCACAATTTCTTGAATCCCTGTTCGATATTGAGGAAGCCCACTTTTTTACTGACTTTATACATAGTCAGCGCATGTTCGTCTATTGTTCTACGTTTAACAGTAGTTGTATATTTGCATAAATAATAAAGTGTCAAAAGGAGATTAATAGACAAACATGCGCTCATGGTTAAAAAGAGAAAAAAACTGCTTCTTCTTACATTCGCTCTCTGTGTTGTAATCAAGGATTGTGACATGTTGAATTCACCACCTGATTTCTTACCTCAGGTAACTTTGTGAATACTAATTCCGCCACGTGACTTGTAAGGTAGCATGTTTAATGCTAACTAGGACACTGTGTTCGAACACGTGAAGTCATGTGGCATTGATATAAAATCTGCTTCAATTACATTGACGTGCTCATATTGTTAATTTCATTTTGAAACCTTTGTCAGGAGTGTATTTGTGCCATACAGAATGGAGAGGGAGAAGAGTGATCATGTTCTTTTTTTCAAACAAGTCATGGTTATTTATCAAGTCTAATTTTAGACCCATTCTTACAATGTTAGCTCCTCCTCTCATGCATACCTAATATTCAATCAAGTAAGTGTAAATTCACTATATTTGGAAAGCAGTTAGGACAAAAAAACACTGAATCATTTTATTGTATCACAGTCTAAAATCATTTTAAGATTTAAAATTGGTTCCAAATTGATAAAATTCTGGCATAAACATACAAAAGTGAATTAAGATTTAGATATAAAAGCAACAGAAGCAACCGAAAAATACCAAAAAACAGGCGTTAAGTGCAGTCATCCTTTTAATGAATTTCCATATTTAAAATTTAAAAAAAATGGATATTTAATTTTTTAAAGACTTTCTATACCTTTTTTTTTTATATATTTTCCATAATACTTGTATCACATATAATGCATAGCAAAGCTCTTTATTTAGAGTAAGTTCCAAACTTTTCAAAAAGAGGAAATTTAGACCACATCATTGCCTATAAATACACATTCCACTTGTATAGAATTGAATCTTATTAAAAAATATATCAACAGATAAAAACTTGCAGAGAGTTAATTTGAAAATACTTTTCAATATCATTGCTTAAGCAACCCTTGTCGATCAAAGTTATCTTCTTATTCTTTCTTGAAATATCTAAATATTTGTTGAATGTTTATGAAAAAAAGAAGAAATATTAAGAAATTATAGCTTTTCATACTTTGTTTCCAAGGTTTTTTTGTTTGTTGTTTAACGTCCCTCTCGAGAATTTTTCACTCATATGGAGACGCCACCACTTGCCGCAGGAGAGCTGCAAATTTTGTCCAATACTCGGTACTTACGGCCATTGAGCAGTGAGGGATCTTCTTCGTGCCAGCACCTACTGCGACACGGGACCTCGGTTTATACGGTCTAATTCGAAGGACCGGTCTCCACGTCCCACAGTGGGATTCGAACCCGCAACGTAAGGATCAACTCCTTACACTGCGACTCTAGAGCAGACGCTCTAACCACTGCGCCACACGGGCGACTGTTTCCAAGGTAACAAGACAACAAGTTTTTGACTTTTACACACGGTCATTGTCACTTTGCTGAATTGCTGTAAACATTAATAATGGGACTCTGGAAATGTTCGTACATGTTATTTTTTTGAAATTCAGAGTAAGTTGCCATGGTAACCATTTAACATAGCAACACATTTTTGCCTCATATGAATTAAAGGTATTAGATTCTTGACAAACATATAGCAAGTTAAAAGAAATTCTGTGACTATGTATTCTCCTGCTCGTACATAAGAGCCAAAGTAATTACAGAGAATGAATCTTTCAAACACTCAAAGAAATCAAGTGGTTGTTATGTTCTCAAAATCGTTTCCATGGGAAATTTATTTAACAAAAATACTTTTATGAGGTCCATAATACATTTTTAATTTTGCTAAACTGGAATTTTAGGACTAAATTTGAAACATTTCTCATTACTGTACATGAATATCTGCCAAAATTAAGCTTTGTCGCCTTGTTGCTATGGGGAATTTGCTGTTGCCATGGAGATAAGTAACTGTACAATAGTCTTTAATTTGCTAAGAAGTCTGATTTATGTTCTATCACTTTAAAATTTATTTCTAGTACTCTAAGATAACAATTTATACTATTTTTCTTTGTAACACTGCACAATTCTTCACTATTTATTTATCAAAACATCCATTATTGTTGCTAGGCAACGGACACTAATTTTCAAAAAACCCACATGTTTCGATTCAGATTTCATTAGAGACATTCCTCTACTTGTATGTGAAATACATGCAAAAGCTGGAATTTTTAGATGCAAATTTTAATTTGACCTTGAATATTGCCAAAATCAAGAAAAATGCTGAATCAGCAAAAAATGCAAAACATGTATATCTTCCAATGACTATTACAGAATTAACTTTAAATCTGATATCTTCGTGTTGGGTTGTTAAAACACTTAAAATGTGTATCTCCTTTATGCTAGTGAAGAGGAATAATTTTATTCATATTTACATTTCATTTCAAGTCCTAACAGATGAGTGACTTTTTGTCCTACCGCATGGAAAAATTGGCCGGTTGCTAGGGAAATTTGTTTGGCCAGGTTTCCATAGTAACCATGAACTAAAACATTTTTTATTTTACATACATGGATCATAGTGCAAGAGAAATCTATGTGTGGAAAATCAACAAATTCTGAGAACCTTCATGTATCACTCTTATACCCATTTTGTCTGATTTTTATATGGACTGGTACTTAAAAAAATGATAGAACGATCTGCACATCTTATACACCATGACAGTTAGTCCTTTGAAATAGGAGAACAAAAAACAGTATTACGTACAAGATAATTAATTACTGGAACATTTTACAAATTCATATTTTTTCTAAACTATAAATTTTATATTTAATTAAAGGGGAAATTAAGCTAAAAGAAGCATTAACTTAATTGATGGCATAGTTATCGAATATGTCTTATTATCGAAAATATATTAAATGTATATTGTTTGAGGTTTTTTTCCCCAATAGCATTATCCATTTTAAAAAATTATGAGGGACCCAGTGTGTGGGGGAGAGGGGTTAGGGGTTAGGTAATTGAGTAACCAAAAAATTCAGCAAACTTTGACTGTACAAAAAAATAAATACTGAAAGTGTAGGTCAGTCTAAATAGTAAGTTAATTTTTAACAAAAAACACTATTACTGGAAAAAGCGGGAGGGTTGCAACCACCTCCCCCATGTTATACGTGCCTGCTTTTTCTTTCTTTCTTTCTTTCTTTTTTTTTTTAATTCGGGCACTTCTTAATATCTTAAGCTTACCCAGTTTCACAATTCAAAATTCTTACTTACAAATTTCTAGCTCATCAAACCTTTTACGGAAAAAAAGTCTGCATCCTCGCTGGATTTTTACTACCTTTCTATTTACTTGTATAATAATTGTATATTTCACGTGTATGTACATGAATAGGTATCGTTTACGTACAAAATAATTATTCTTTTATCTCTTTATGATCAAAACACTTGCCACTTTTTCAAGTTGTGTATGGACTAAGAACTTACGCCTACTCATGAGCAGGCCTAGATTTAAGCTTAACTTTAGTCTCGACCAAGTCTGCGCCTTTTTGTGAAACGCTACTTAGTCCGATTTTGGGGTTTAGTCACTGACTTAGTCCGGACTAAGCTTACGCCTGGTCGTAGGCCTTTTTGAGAAACGAGCCCCTGATGTTTCCGAGGTCCGTATTTGCTCTGCACCCAATTTGTTTTGATCCAATGGAAATTTGATCTTGATTACTATTCTTTATATCTGCATTTATCATTCATTGAAAGTAGACTAAAATTGTATAAATCTATTTTTTTTTTATCATCTAACTGCTCATTTTATTATTATTATTTTTTTTTTTTTTGCATGATTAATATAAATCGCTCTTCAATAACAGTAAAGTTCATATTGCCTGGACCCAGGAATTAGGGCGGGGCTTATTGGTTATATATTGAAATTTATTATTCATCAAATTTTATGTACTCCCGAAAAACAGGTGCATGCATTTAATGCTTATAAGATTTTTACAGAACTGTTAAAATTTTTGTTTTATGATCCAGACTTCAGGTTCTGGGTTTTTCCATTTGGCTACAGTTCGAAAATTTATGACGCACATACAAGTGACCGGCATGGTAAATTAGCCGTTTGTGTGTAATGTACTTTAATATTGTAGACTTTTGCATAATTGATGGGCATTGTGTTGAACATGGGAGAAGTGAACAGAACAGAGACTGCAAAGTCTGTAATGCATACAACAACAACACGGTCTGGCAAATAAGCAATGGTAAAGCAAACACATATTCTTAGTAACATATGTACAATTAGCATAAATATGATGTGTTCACATATGGTACAACTGATATCTTTTTGCAGGTCATTGTTATATACAAGAGACTTGTTTCAAAGATTTAGAAATTAATTCTACGTTTCCATGTCAGATATGCAATTCATCCAAGGATATCTTTGAATTTTCATTAAACCAGGGTAAGATAAATACATGTAAATGTGCAGTGATTATTTATTGCAATTTTTAGGTCGCCTGAGTCACTCAGGTGACCTATTGCTATCCGTTCTCGTCCTTCGGCGTGCATCGTGCGTCGTGCGTTAACATTTGAACATTTTTAGCTTCTTCTCTGAAACCACTTAACCAATTTCAACCAAATTTGGCATATAGCATCTATGGGTGAAGGGGAACAAAGATTGTGAATTTCATGGTCCCTGCCCCCCTGGGGCCTGAGGGGTGGGCTAAAACCACCAAAAATAATGCAATCTTTTAAAATCTTCTTCTTTACTCCCGGACATCAAGCAGTCAAACTGTTGGCATCATTGTAATAAGCATTGAGCCCTCTACCAAAATTGTGAAATTCATGGCCCCAGGGTCAGGGGTTCTGGCCCCAGGGCGGGGCTATATAGATCATATAGTGAAAGTGCATTATTTCTTTGAAAATCTTCTTCTCTGCTCCTGGGTATTAAATAAGGTAACTAAGTACATAGTTATGAAGAGCAAGAGTGCCTCTTCCAGAATTGTGAAATTCATGGCCCCAGGGTCAGGGGTTCTGGCCCCAGGGCGGGGCTATATAGATCATATAGTGAAAGTGCATTATTTTTTGAAAATCTTCTTCTCTGCTCCTGGGTATTAAATAAGGTAACTAAGTACATAGTTATGATGAGCAAGAGTGCCTCTTCCAGAATTGTGAAATTCATGGCCCCAGGGTCAGGGGTTCTGGTGTTAGGGTGGGGCTCTGTAGATTATATAGTGACAATCCATTTATTCTTTGAAAATCTTTTTCTCTGCTCCTGGGTATTAAATAAAGTAACTAAGTACATAGTTATGATGAGCAAGAGTGCCTCTTCCAAAATTGTGAAATTCATGGCCCCAGGGTCAGGGGTTCTGGCCCCAGGGTGGGGCTATATAGATCATATAGTGAAAATGCATTATTTCTTTGAAAATCTTCTTCTCTGCTCCTGGGTATTAAATAAGGTAACTAAGTACATAGTTATGATGAGCAAGAGTGCCTCTTCCAAAATTGTGAAATTCATGGCCCCAGGGTCAGGGGTTCTGGTGTTAGGGTGGGGCTCTGTAGATTATATAGTGAAAATGCATTAATTCTTTGAAAATCTTCTTCTCTGCTCCTGGGTATTAAATAAGGTAACTACATACATAGTTATGATGAGCAAGAATATCTCTTCCATAATTTTGAATTTCATGGCCCCAGGGTCAGGGGTTCTGGTGTTAGGGCGGGGCTCTATTGACTATATAGTGAAAATGCATTAATTCTTTGAAAATCTTCTCCTCTGCTCCTGGGCATTAAGATGATAAACTAAGTACATAGTTATGATGAGGAGGTGGGCCCCTTCCAGAATTGAGAAAGCCATGGCCCCTGGGTCAGGGGTTCTGGTGTTAGGGTGGGGCTCTATTGATTATATAGTGAAAATGCATTAATTCTTTGAAAATCTTCTCTGCTCCTGGGTATTATTTAAACAAACTAAGTGCATGGTTATGATGCATAAGGATGCCTTTTCAAAAATTGTGAATTTCATGGCCCCAGAGTCAGGGGTTCTGGTGTTAGGGCGGGGCTCTATTGATTATATAGTGAAAATGCATTGATTCTATGAAAATCTTCTTCTTTGCTACTGGAGATTATTTAAACAAACTAAGTGCATGATTAAGATAGGCAAGGATGCCTCTTCAAAAAATTTTAAATACATGGCCTCAGTTTTTGGGGTTCTTGAGGGGGGGGGGGGGGGGAGGGAGGCGGGCTCTATTGATTATATAGTGAAAATGCATTAACTCTATTAATTTATCATTAACTAATCCTGTCTGCTCCTAAGTGTTGAGCTGATAAATAAATTGCTTAGCTATGATGAAGATGGGAGCTTCGAACAGAATTTTTAAATCTTGTGGTCCTAGCGTCAGGGGTTCTGGCATAACGAGGAAGGGGGGGGTGCTTTTGATAATATGGTGGAAAAATGTTAATTCTTTGAAGTCCATAGTTATGATGATGAGGGCAACTCTTCCAAATTTGTAAATTTCTTGACCTTTGGTCTTGGGTTCTGGTGTTAGGGTAAGGCTTTGTTGAATCTAGTGAAAATGCATTGTACCTGTGAAATTCTTCTCTGCTTCTGGGCATATCGAAAGCAAACTGAGTAAAAGTTTAAATGATATAAGTAAGCGTATTTCTACCAGATTTTTGAACATCTGGACAATTTGTCTAAGCATTCTGGTCCTGGACAGGGCTCTATTAATTTGTATTCTACTGAGAGAAGTTATTCCCCTTTTCCATTCACCTTTGATAATTAATCACTGTAAATAATGTATTTGAAAGATTAATAGAATAAGATAATTATGCAAGAATGTTTATCGTATAATTCAAAAAGTACTTTCTTAGTTTTAATAATCAGGCACACCTGTAAGTAATAGATAAATAAAAATGAGACAAAAATAACTTATCTTATTAAAAGTTCTTCAAAGACCATAAGAGAGGTCAATGCTAGAGGTCTTAATATGGGTTTAAAAATAGTACAGAAGCACTAATAGTTTGTTAATAGTCTGCATGATGATAATGTTAAGTGGGGGACAGATTAGAACTTAAGTTATGAGTTGATACTGAATACTAGACTAATTATTTTGTTGATCCTGATATTCCTACTTCTCTTGCTTTAGGGCAACAAAGCTTCATCTATCAGTGTATTTAACTTCTAAATTGTTGTATTATAATCAGGTGACCGTTAAGGACCTTGGGCCTCTTGTTCCCTATATAAAATTTTTAGCATCGGGAATTTTTTAAAGAATATCACTACAGGGTAACAATATCAATTTTTGCCAAACTTCGATGAATGTACAGCTTGGTGATACCTGTGTATGTAAATGTGGATATCATGTGTTTAATCAAATGTTCTCTATTGTAAAATACTTACTTTCAATGAAAAAGAATTTAACATTAATTTTTGTAATATTTCGGCAGATCAATATATTTAACAAAAACTCCTTAAAGCCACCAGTCCTGTGCTTTTCATTCTCTTTAGATGAATGAAAAATGAAAACTAAAGCAAGAGTAAAGCCTGATCAGTGACTGTTTTTTGTTATTCTAAAGCGTACTGTGATATTGGTGGTTTTTGTGTGGCTGACGGGCAGAAAAATGATGCCAATCCTTGTTTGTATTGTAACACGTCACTCACCAGGGAAAACTGGTCATTTAGGCAAGGTAATTGTCACTAATTTATTCTATTCAGAGGTTTTGCTAAAATTGACCTTCAAAAGTTTAAAATACCAAACTTGTATTTCTTCATGTTAATTTATACTTTCTACATACTTTAGCTAATTCGTTGAATATAAGTAGTCCATTTTTTATTAAGTAAGAGACATAAAGGTACGATTGCTTTTGACACCAGAAGCAATCGGAGCGGAGGCGGGGGAGGCGGGGGGATGTCCCATTGTTTTACTGTGAAATTAGTTTTCATTGATTTTAGTCTACTGATCACCTTATTTTATTTTCGCATACATGTATTATTTGAATCATATATCCAAACTAATATTTCCTCCTGACTTTGACATACGTTTACCTACAAAAGTAACACATTTTACATAAATGGAAGTTGCATACAGCATGGTAGTAACGAAACGAACAAATACTGCAGAATCTGTGAAGCAGATACCAAAAACAGCACCTAGCAAATAAAAGATGGTAAAGCTTTTTTTTAAAAAATGCTATATTAAAAAGCATGTGTTTTTTTAATATAATAAAAAAAGATATCTTTTCAGGACACTGCTATATACAAGGAATCTGTTTTGAAAACTCTGAAATGAATTCTACATTCCCCTGTCAGATATGCAATTCATCAAAGGATGTCTATCAATTTTCATCTAATCCAGGTATGTTTATCAACTTGAATCGACACAGTGCTGTGTGAAGTGATATTGTTTTGTAAATTGTCTGAAAATATGTCATGATGAAAATGTTTAGACCATGTATAGGTTAAGATTTATTATTGCTGCCTCGATAAATGTGTTTTTTTTTTTAATTTTGCAAATAGAAGTAAATATTAATTATTGTTGATTGCATGTATTTTATGCATTATTTTGAGTCATAAAATCTTCATATGACAAGGTGAAGATAACTAAGAATGATCAATTAAAAAAAATTAACAAACAATATAAATTTGTGATCAGGATATAAAAAACTAACCCCCGGAAATTCCAAAAGGCGAAAATCAGGTGACTAGGAATAGTGGGCATCGCCTGTTGACCGGTACCCCACACCTCCAACCCCATCCCCTTCGAGTATGTGTTTTGATCAGGTAGACGGAACATTCCGTAGTTAAATTTAGTATAAATCAAGAGCCTAACAATTGCTATGGATTCTGTCAGTCAAAATGCAATCCAGTGATAGGTTATGGGAAAAAATATCAATATTTCCTCTTAAACTGGTGCTATGCTTAAATGCACCGGCTTTTTCTTTCTCTCTTTTTTTCTTCTTTATTTTCCTTTTCTTTTTTCTTTTTCTTTTTTTCTTTTTTTTTTTTTTTTTTTTTTTTTTTTTTTTTTTTTTTTGGCTACATAGGCCAAAAGCTAAAGTGAGCTCCTTTAATTGTCCCTCTTTTTCAATTTCTTATCCAGAAGGTTTAGGTCAATTTCAAGCACTTTTCCATAGTTTAGGGAATTCTGATTTGATTATTATGGATTTAGGGCTGGGCTAAATCTTGGATCAAATTTAAATGAGTTTTACAGGATTTATAAAAAAAAAAAAAATCAGAATTCCTTCTTTATTATAAAAGGATCATATCACAATATAAGCATCAGATATAACATATTATTTGATTTCAAGTCAGATTAGTCCTGCAACTCGGGGCTATGATGACGCCATTATATGGAGTATAGTCTTTTAATGGGAAAAAATCCCTTGAAATAAAAACCGCAAGACAATGTAATTTCCTTGAGCGTTTACTCATGGACCTTTTGTTTTAAAATTAATAAAAATTTAAAAAGTCATCATATCTCTGTTTCTTATTTTATTGCAAAGAGTGAAAACATGAGTTGAAACCTTAATACTAGTATCTGTTGATTTAATTTTCAAGCGTTCTGTAATATTGGTGGTCTTTGTGTGGCCGACGGGCACAAAAAAGATGCAAAGCCTTGTTTTTACTGCAACGCAACAATCAACAGAGAAAGCTGGTCGTTTAATCAAGGTATGTAGGACACTCAAGGTGACAGCACTGACATTCATAATTCTAAATCTATAAACCTCCATAAAATTCTAGAATGCCTCGTTCTATTATCTACATACATATATGCATCCATGGTAAAAACTTCGTTCATTCAATGTATCAAATATGAAAATAAGATAATCTTTAAAGCAAGTTAGTGAATGGATAATATTGGTAGTATTTTGCATCGTTTTTTTATTTTTATAATACATGTAGTCTTATGATTTAGAAGTACTATCACGATATAGACAATTTATTTTTCAGTAAAAAATTGATTGATTGATTGACTGATTGTGTGTTGTTTTACGTCCCATTCGAGAATGTTTGCACTCACATAGAAACGTTACCATATACCGGGGAAGGGCTTCAAATTTTGACCTTTACTCGGCACTCAGGGCCATTGAGCAGTAAGGGATCTTTATAGTGCCAACGCCTGCCGTGACACGGGACTTCGGTTTTTAAGGTCTCAACCGAAGGACCCGCAACTTTCACTTAAAAGTGCCGAGCGCATGGCGAAGGAACAGTTGCTACCCATTTTTTTTTTATCGACCTAGGTCAGTCGCTGCCGAGATTCGAACTCATGACCTCCCGATCATGGAGCGAGCGCTCTACCGACTGAGCTACCATGAACGGTATAAAACATTGAAAACAGAGAGTGAAAACTGGTTAAAATTCTTAAAAATATTTTTGTTAATGAAATGTAATGATAAAGTGATTCTATAAGACATTTTTATTGCTTTAAACGTCAATGCTGAAATTCACTGATATACTTCCGGTAGCATGATGCTACTTCTGGTAGCATTGACCTATTTATAAAACAACAAAGGTAGCATCAAGATAAGGTTAGCAAGCATTAAATCACCAAGCAAGGAAACATTCAAATCAGCATTGATGCTGTAACAAAATAAGTTCCCTGCACTTTACTAGTTCATGTAACACTGGATTTTTGATTAATTGGAATATGTTAAGTATATAAGATTATCAGTTATATCACTCTTTTTGAAATGATATATTTTATCAATTGTTCAGTGTCAAATGTGTAAAACTACGTCTATATACTTTAAACATACATTACATGTAAATTACATGGTTTCACCTGGCAAGTTCAGTAGGAATTGAAATGACTTTCTGGGGATTGTGTGTCAATCTTCAGTTGATGCTAACATATGTATTTTCTCGAGATCAAGAAACCGCGCAATATTTCAGCATAGTACATATGCTTCAGCTTTATAAATCCTTTGTATATTAAGAGAAAATAGTTAGGTATTGAATATATAAAGACAAACTTACAAGAAGCATAATGCTAATATTCTGTGGTGTATATCAGATTTTAATTTTTCTAGAATGTTGATTTATGTTCTTCTGAAATACTATTATCAATTGATTTATTTTATCTATAGTATCAATAAAATACATCTTGAATTTGACGTACATTTACCTGCTGATCTACAAATTTATTTTCAAATTGCTTTACATGGGGCTATTGAGGTGAATATTATTTTTTTTTCCTCAAAAAATTATTCTCTGTTAATGTTATTTTATCATGCTTCTACAATTTCAGATTACTGCATGATAAATGGAAGTTGTATAAGACATGGGAGTTCAGAACAGAACAAAGGATGTAGAGTCTGTGATGTACATACCAACAACAGTGTCTGGCAAATAAAAAATGGTAAAGTAAAACAACAGAGACTGTGTAAATTCAATTGACTCTTTTACGTAATTAACAATTGTGATCTTTTTACAGGACACTGCTATATACAAGAGAGCTGCTTCAAAGATTCGGAAGTAAATTTAACCTTTCCCTGTCAGATATGCAATTCATCCAATAATGTAAATGACTTTTCTTCAAACCCAGGTATCTCTATAAACTTATTGGTTTTTTTTTTGTTTAATTGTGACATTTCGAATAAATTTTTTTTCACATTATTTTAACCAAATAATAGATTATATTATTGTAAGGTGTCGTTTATGTACCCCTTTGTTAAGGTCACCGATACATGTAAATTTAATTTGCGAAACATGTATTTCATGCAGAATTTTGTATTATGAACATTTCTATGTAATGACAAATCAAATTGTGTACATTTCCTTTTAAAGTGATAAACATTTCGACATATTTTTTATCAACCCAGAGTGCTTAAACCACTATTCCTTTGCAAATTATTTGACTGCAAAGTATGAAAGCCGGAGCATGACATAGTACAAAAATTACACTGTCTCTTTTGTTGTTCGCAAGCATACTGTAAAATTGGTGGTCTTTGTGTACCTGATGGACAGAAAAATGACGTCCAGTCTTGTTTTTATTGTAACGTGTCACTCACCAGAGGAAACTGGTCATTTAGTCAAGGTAAATATAAATGAAAGAAAGCTTATCTTCAGCTTTGAAAAATTTCGACCTTTATAAAATGTTTAGTGAACATGCTTCATGCTTTTATCTATGGATGTTTACTGATCCATGGTATCAACTTACTCCATTTTTAAATCCTTAAAGATAAAGATAAGATTTCTTTGAAAGAGGTTTGTTAATGGAAACCGCAAAAACAGTAAAATCTTGCACTGTTTTCTATTACCGGTAAATTTCAGTGACTACCATCTTTTGTTGGCTCCCTGAATATTGATTGTTCTTATTCCCAATATATCATTTGAGTCGTCCAAGCCAAAAAAAGAGCCTTTCTGTTATCTGACAGATTTATACGTCACAATAGATAAAAAGTCGACGTCATTTTTTTTGCAACCAAAAGTGGATGTTTATAGAAATTTTATATTATTCACTTCTCAACATTGTCCGAAAGTAGTTTACCGGTACTTACAATTATTTCCTCTCACAGACCCCTACTCCATTAAAAAATAGAACAATTTAAAAGATGATTAAGCAAAAAATAATAGGCATATTAAAAAAGATTCATCATATCATTTACATTGCTTTTCCATACTCTATAAAATCTTCATGTACGCTTCGACATTAAAGGGTCAGGCCTCTGCCTCTTATTTCTGTGGTAAGTGTTTCCAAGGCTAATATGTTTGTATAAGTTAAAGTAATCATAAAAACTAGAGGTACTGTGAGCACTGAGCTCACTAAATGATACCCACCGCCTCCCATATGATTATAATGGCAAAGTCCATGTTTTGCCCTGGGAGACCCGAAATAAGTGTCAGATCAAAAAGTCAAATAGGAGGTGCACAATGGCACTATGTAACAAAGATTCTGTGAAAGTCTCATTAAATTTATTCAGTGGTATAAGAGGAGTTGCGGATAAGAGATAGGTACCCCAAAGCGTAACAGACTGACGGACGGACGTACAGACAGCTAGACGGACGGAAGGACGGACACCCCGATCACTATATACCCTCCCACTTTTCAAGCGGGGGTATAACAATGGGATTTATAATACAATTTTGGTTTCTGCTTATGTCTCTAATTTAAAGCGGAATTTATCGGTTAAATTAAATTTGGAGATCCTTTGTAAAAAGAGCTTGCATTTTGTCATGTTGGTGTTCCTCTGTCAGCATCATAGGCCTATTTGAACTCCGGAAACATTATTTTGATTATTAGGGAAGAAACCTTTTTTTGCATAAAAATGAAAAAAAAAGTTTACAATACAATTAGCCTAGGTATGTATTAGAGCAAAAATACAATGTGAAGTCTTTACGTAAAAGTGACAAATCATTAGATGAAGTAGTGGTAAATGTGCACATATTTTAAAATATAAGTGGTAAATGTGCACATATTTTAAAATATGACGTCAACCTCTTGAATATCGTGAACTTGAATACCTGTTAATCTATAACTATGTAAGATACAATATTTACATGTTATATTCACCATAATTAGGTGTACTTCTTTTTTTTTTTTTTTTTTTTTTTTTTTTTTTGGTTTAAAAAAATACAATAATTTGGACATTTTATCGGGCTTGGAACAGATCATTTTATTTATTTTATCAATCTTTTAAGTAACGCAAAATCCATAATTTAACATATGTTCTCCAGCTAAAAAAGTAGATCATAGTATGTGACAAAGCACCAGTAGCATGTATCTCTTTTGAAAAACGTTTTATTCTGTCAAAATTATTTTAAAAAGCTTCTACAATTTTAGATTACTGCATGATAAATGGAAGTTGTATAAGACATGGGAGTTCAGAACAGAACAAAGGATGTAGAGTCTGTGATATACATACCAACCACAGCGTCTGGCAAATAAAAAATGGTATAGCAAAATAATCAAAACTGTATTAATTCAATATTAGACTCTTTCACATAATTAACAATTGTGATCTTTTTACAGGACACTGCTATATACAAGAGAGCTGCTTCAAAGATTCGGAAGTAAATTTAACCTTTCCCTGTCAGATATGCAACTCATCAAAAAACATATATGAATTTTCGTCAAACCAAGGTATAGAACACTGACAAAATGCTGTGTTGAAATTAAAAATAATTGTATCATTTTTATAGAAAATTCGGCAATGAAGAATTCTTTTTAAACAATTTATGGCTTCTTAAAGCCACCAATTACCCCTGCAGATTATTTGAGTATAAAGTATGAAAAATGGATTAAGATCCAAAAACCTGATTAATTTTGTGTTGTTCTAATATTTTAGGGTACTGTAACATTGGCAGTCTTTGTGTATCCGACGGTCAGAAAAACGACGCCATGGTCTGTTTGTATTGTGATACGTCACTCACTAGAAGAAACTGGTCATTTAATCAAGGTTAATGTCTCTGGAATAATTTTATTCAGCTTTTGAACAACACTGACCATGTTAACTTAAATCTAAAAAAAAACGTGGATCAATTTATATGTTAATCTCTTATTCAAGCATGCGAAAAGGTATATGTACACCTAAATGTATATAATGCTCGATGGATTTAGATTTTTTCAATATCCAGTTCCAAAAATTATTTATATCATTTCGACATACCCAAATAAATTTATCGAAATTATAACAAACCTAACATGAACACTTTGATAAACGTAAATTTTACATGATGAACTAGATAGAACAGATTAGCATACCTGTAATATGTTACGTCAGACCAAAAGTGTAAATTTTGAAAAAAAAAGTTTTCTCTGTAAAACTTAATTTTTTAAGCTTCTACAATTTCAGATTACTGCATGATAAATGGAAGCTGTATAAGACATGGGAGTTCAGAACAGAACAAAGAATGTAGAGTCTGTGATGTACATACCAACCACAGTGTCTGGCAAATAAAAAATGGTAAAGCAAAACAACCAAGACTTTAATTTCAATTGACACTTTCACATAATTAACAATTGTGATCTTTTTACAGGACACTGTTATATACAAGAGAGCTGCTTCAAAGATTTCGAAGTGAATACAAGTTTTCCTTGCCAAATATGCAATTCATCCAAAGATACTTTTCACTTTTCCACAAACCCAGGTAAATTACATATAGGATCTTTTAATTGTAATTAATTCACCTTGAAAAAAAACAAAACAAAACAATCTTATCTTTTAAACCATCATTGCTTAATTATAACTGAAATATAAATCAATTTTTACTGCGTGAAAAATACTTATTCTACTTTTACATTCTTTATGCTTAAAATGTCATCAAACATTGGCAAGTGGGCATTCACGATCGGTGTAGGTTAATATCAAAACGAAATTTAAAAGCTATACAGAATTGAAAAAAATAAACCGAAAAAAAATCTTTTAAGTATCAATGATATATCGAATTTATTTTTGTGCCACTGAGGATTAATTATGCAATTTATACGCCTACATATTTCATGTAGATTTATTGGCATATCTAAGCAATTAAGCACGGTATGAAATGACGTATTTACTCGCAAAAAGCAGAGACGATATTAAATATACAGGAATTCCTGGCCTTCCTGAATCAACATTTAATTGTAGGATCAGTCTATCTAGCATTTATCCAGTAAACAGATACATTGGCAAGCAGTTCAATAAGCACGAGTGACAGCATGTTTTTCCTGTTCTTACCTTTTGAAAAAAATGTCTTCAATTGAAAATACTGTGTAGCAGAATTATTTGTTTTGCACGATGGTTTTATTAAAAGGATCGAATTAGAGAAAGGATATTATATCGCTACATGTATAGATGTCATTTCCTTGTATTAGCAAGGCAATGAAATTTATTTTCTCAAAATTTCTATTTTTTTACTTCATTTGATTTTTTTTTTACAAGTGTATATATCCATTTATGTTCAAAAGACAGTCATGCTTGAAGCTGCTACCACATATAAATAATGTCCAAAAGTATCGGATGTGATTTATTTTGCAGAGGGCAAACGACTTGTACACTTATCCATTTAGTAAAAAGGTGTTTGTGTTTTGCAATGTGGACAGGTTGATAAAGGATTCAATGTTTATTCTAAAAATGTATAAATTTTTACTTTAATTTGGATATTTTGTTGCCAATTTGAATATGTAATTTTTGTAGTCATAACCGATAAAAAAAAAGGCACGTTTTGTAAAGCGTGCGACAAAAATTCAAATACCATCTAATTTTTCCTGTAACCAATCAAATATGTCACCAAATTCCATTTGACACATGTATATCGAAGCTACAGTGTATATTTTACTTAGTACTCAAAGTTGAATCAAAGCTTCAAATCATGACAATTATTGAATGCACTCCTCAGTAAAGAACGATAACTCTCAAAACTATTATTTGATTTAAAGAAAAGTCTCAAAATGATTTATATTAAAATCCTTTTGTGCAAAAATTTTCATATCATGATTCGAGGTTCTTTGAAGTCTTAGAACGGTCTTGTAAAAAGATAACATTTGTACCCCCATAAAAGTACAAAAATAAAAAAAAATAAAAGCATTCTTAGAGAACTCAAATTTTCTTTTATCTAGTCTTCGATAACAATGTTTTTTCGCATGATGTGAAATTAGAAGTGATCTGTGTTGCCTTGCAATGATAGTACTAACTTTTTACACCAGGTATTATATATTGAAGTAAATAGAACTAAAATAACTTAAATATATACATGTAATATATTTTTTTTTGCAACTATGTCCATTTCTTTTCTTTTTTTTTTTCTTCTAGATTATTGTATGATAAATGGACATTGTGTAAAACATGGGGATACCTCACAAAATAAAAATTGTAAAGTTTGTAATGCATATACAAACAGCACCGTTTGGCAGCAAAAAGATGGTAAGGAAGTTTTTGTATCTGCCTTATTAATTTCAATGTTTTTGGACTACATGACAATCATAATATTTTACAGGGCACTGTTATATTGAGAATGGCTGTTTCAAGGATTTTGAAATGAACTTGAACTTTCCCTGTCACATTTGCAATTCATCGAACGATGTCTATAAATATTCACCAAACCCAGGTATATACACATATAATTTTCAAATGTCTTTTGATCAGCATGACTTTCTCTGCAGCTTGACATATGAGGACGTTAGTTGAAACATTATTTGATGACATTGGGTTTCCTCTTGATTTTTTTTTTTCAATGTTTCTCACGTTTTTATCACAATTGAATGAAAAATGTCTCTTGCAATCCCGTATATATAGACATCCAATATGTTTATTCACGATGAGTATCATGTATTGAAAGCCGTTTTTTTTTTTTTTAATTTGGACTACAGGATAATTGTAAACTAATACAATATAAATAAAAATTGATATTTTATGGACAAAATTTTCTCAAACACATACAATTCTTTAACTTTTGGAGTTGGACCACGAACTGGATGGGACATGCAAAAATTCTGAAGAACAAAAAACGTGTTACATTATTAAACGTCATTGAAAAGAAAATGCAATCATCACGATTTAAAATAGAACCCGAACCAGAGACTCAACAGTGACTCACTACATTAAGCTACTCAGCACCTAAATACACAGAATCCTTGGCGATTTAAATATTTTGTTTGTATCTGCAGCCCTTTTTTTCTGGGGCTTGATATGTATTATCAAATTCATATTCAGCGTTGTCCTTCATGAGCATAATTATGTTAGCGCTTTTTAAAGCATTTTCATATACTTTACACATAGCTCATATGTCAAGCTGCAGAGAAAGTCATGCTGATCAAAAGACATTTGAAAATTATATGTGTATATACGTATAAAATGAATGAGCAAGTGCTTAACTCATTCATCAACTTGTCAAATGGATTCATAATCATGTAAAACATAACTTGTACGTATTTTTTTTATCTTTTTCGTAGCGAAATTAATTACTTGAAATAAATCTGAGCGTCAAATAATTTTATTCTAATATTGAAAAAAATCTTGTGGAATTTAAAATATTTGGATATTTTCCCAGCATTTCAAGCCTAAAAAAGCCATTATATTTTTATTTTTGAAAAAATATATAAAATTCGTGATTTCTTTTTTTAATTTTTATAATAAATGATATGTCTTATAATATATTTTTGCGATTTGAATGTATTAATATCGATACCTGCTATTTAGCAAAGAAATAGGGGTTTAATAACTTTTTTTGTATGTAAGCGAATGAACATACTGGAAGGTTTTGAGGAAATTACATATCAAATCATTTTTATGTGCATGGTATAATAAACAAAAAAATTAAATCAGATCAAAATTAAAGGAAGAATCACAGAATAGTAATAGTTTTGATCCGGTGCTTAGTTGTATAATGAAATGACGCGTTTATTGGAAAGTTCAAAATGAATTATTATTTATGATGCGTAGTTCTATAATTGTAAGACTATGTGTAGTTTTCAATGTGAGCACATTTATAAACCTGTGCAAGGATATTTGTAAAATATCTTTTAAAAAATAATAGTGGAAATGTTGCATCATGGGGAGGGGGAATGATAAAAGCGTACAGAAGCTTGATAATTTTATTAATCAGCTTAAAGCAGCCATATGCATTAAACTGTTCAAAAAAGGTGTATGTCTGTAAAGAAAAGATCCCAGCAATCTTTATTTTCAAATCAATGAATCGTTGCGTGTAAGAATACGTAATACAAGTAAATTTGCAAACTGTAAAGTTACTAAATATAATCGAAATTTTCATATTTTGGCCACAATTTATATAGTTTTTCTCCAATGAATGCCGATGGAGTTATTTTTTTCCCTATCATTTCAATGAAATGTAAGAACTTTAATTTACAAATTATATTGTTTTTATTGTAAATAAAACACATGAAATGGATTACATGTATGATATTACATTATTAATGCATCTAACATGATCATAAATAAATATATAATATAAAGATATATCATTTTAATTAAAAGTTTAAATAAGACATTGCAAACATTTAATAGTATACTTGATTTAATTTGGACACACTGGCTCATGCCGGGAGAAACTAATAACATTTCATTCAAATAAAATGGACGAGATAAAATCAAAAGAAATTTCTAAAGTGCGATTATTTGATTTTGAAGAAAAAGTCTATCCGTCACGAAAATTATTCAGACTCCTGTCATACCACTTCATCATATCTTTTATAAGAACATGAGAATATGTAACCATTTGACCTCAAGGTATTTTGATTTTACTGAGAATAACATGGTATCGATTCATCCTATAGCATACTGTAATATTGGTGATCTGTGTGTGGCTGACGGACAGAAGAATAATGGCAAATCTTGTTTATATTGCAACACGTCTCTCAACAGAGGAAACTGGTCATTGAGTCAAGGTAAATGGCATTGCATGCATTCTATACTATATCTCAAGACAATTGTTAATATCTGAGAAGAAAACTGAAATGAACTTTTCTGAAAAAGTATCCGAAGTTTGTATTTCCTTTATATAGCTGTCTGCCATGCGTCTTGCGTTGTCTTTAAACTTTTCACACTTTCGACTTTCTACAGAACGTGCACTTAGAATCCTTTGATAAAAAGATTTCAATTTCGTTCAAATGAAGGGCCATATCCTCTTTCAAGTGGACATAACAATGAATTTACGAGGGGCATTTCAAAAGTTCTGGCAACTGGTATATAAAATTTCAACTACATTACGGATTAAAATGACTCTGATACTACTGTAAAGCTTAGGCAAATATGCATTAGTAGTGACGTCATTTTACATTCAAAATGACGTATAGGTCTGCTAAAATGACGTCATAATTAGGTATACTCTGTATACTGGGCATAAAAATGACTGATAAGGAGAACAATTTTTTGTTGAGCAAAGAGCGTATTGCAAAATTCGCTCATTGCTTGGCTTTACGGCAACAGAAATAAAAGCCGATTTATATGTAGTATAAAGAGAGCATGCTCTTTCATATCGAGCAATAGCAAGATTGGTAGTTCAATTTAAAGAGGGTAGAAAATCAATTGAAGATGACCCCCGTTCGGGGCGTCCAGTTTGTGCATATGGCAAAAAAGAAATCGTCGCTGTTCAAAATACGATAGCTGATGATGCTAGATATACAGTTGAGGAAATAGCAGACTTAACTAACATTAATTCGTCAGCAGTTTTTCGTATTTTAAAGGAAAACTTAAAGCTTAGGAAAGTCTGTGCTAGATGGGTGCCGCATCTTCTCTCGGAAGAGCAAAAGCGCATCCGGGTAGAAATGGCTTCACAGTTACGAACAACTTATGAAGATTGTGACCAAAGGCGAATAAATGAGATTGTAACTGGTGATGAAACATGGATATTTTTTTGAACCGGAAACTAAGCTCAATAATAAAGTTTGGATCGGTGAAAATGATACAAGGCCTCAAATTGCATGCAGAAACCGGTCTGTCCGGAGAGTAATGTACGCCTTATTTTTTTATTCTAAAGGCCCTGTTGCTCAAGTTCCGGTTCCAGAAAACAGCAGTGTTACTGGTCAATTTTATGCAGAGAATGTCTTGTCTCAGGTTGTAGAGCACTATAAAACGACCCGACCAACAACCAGTACTAGAGGAATAAAGCTCCTCCATGACAACGCACCTGCCCATAGATCAGAGGTAGTAACCAAATATTTAAAGGAAAATGGTATTGCCGTTTTACCACATCCACCCTACAGTCCTGACCTAACTCCATGCAATTTTTGGTTGAATACCGTTATCAAAGAAGCCCTCCGAGGACGGCGATTTGAAAGTCGTCATGCAGTATTGCAGAATTGCCGTATTCCAGTGTATGAAGCGTATACCGAAAGAGGACTATAGGGCAGCATTTTCCACGTGGATTTCAAGACTGACAAAGTGTGTCCAGGTCAACGGAGACTATTTTGAGGGATTGATATAATTTAATTTATGATAATGACGCTCATTAATTTACCGCACACCAGTTGCCAGAACGTTTGAAATGTCCATCGTATTGGCATCATTTAAATATCTTCTTCTCAAGAACACTGAACCAGAAAAGATGAAACTTACATGAAAGCTTCCTAATGCACATGTACATTTTTTCAAATCAAAAACCCGGAGTACAAGGTGTGCTTAAAATAGGAAATAAAAGTTTAACATAGCAATATACAAGTGGTATTTGGAAAGTTCTGAGAGTGGTTTGATAAAATATTATCATATTTCATTGGAATATTTTTTCACAGGAAAATGATATCTTTAAAATTGCTGATTTACAGTACCATTCCTATAGTTTGAATCAGTTACATGCAAATTGCATGTACAAGCATATTTATTTGAAAAAAAAATTTCAAAGAAGTCTCTGTAGCTCTATTTCGATGCAAACTAATAAGTAAACTTTTCGATAAATGGATAAATGTGATGACGTCTTTTCCATCGTCATCTTCCGTAATTTATGTAGCAAAATAACATTATCATGTCTCACAGTTCAATCGGTACGAAAAATCATGTTCTACGTTCTAATAATTTCTAAAACGGGGGAAGCTATAGACGAACAAGTTGATGATACAGGAATATATTAAAAAAATCTCAATTAAAATAAACATTCTTTCTGAAAATTCTATAGTCAGTACGATGACCCTAGCTTGTTGGCAAATACAGTGTATCCTTTAGTCTAATGTTATCTAATGTTTTTCATACAAATTGTTTAGCCATTATTCTCACAGTGAATTGTCAACGGATTTGTTCGTTTATAGGATAATGACAAGGAGCACAAGGCGAGTGTGACCGGTGGACAGGGTATGATTTTTATCCCTGTAACCTTATCCGACCGTTGTTTTCAGAGGCCAATATTGGCTCTGCTCACAACTTGTACGATTAAATTGACTTTTGAGCATAATTACTGTTCGTTATTTTCACATTTCATAGGGAATAATGTTAAAATCTTTTTCTCTAGAACTGAAAGGGCATAATTAATCAGATTAATTTGCAAGTTTTCTCAGATAGTGCAGATTTAAATTTGTTCAAATCATTTCACCATTGGGAAGGACAGGGCTCCAATGAGTATTATAATTTTAGGAATATCTAATTCTCTTGATAAGCGGAACGCTTGTGAATAGAATGAGCTTTGTGGAACATGGGCCTCCTGTTAAATTATGCTCATGTCTATTATATGTTTACAAAAGACGTTATCTTTTCTGTAAAAAATGATATGTAGAAATATGTTCTTTTGAAACAAGGTTTGGCGATGGAGAAACTTATTTCTGGTTTGTTTTCATCATATTAAACAACCAAACCCTTTTATTGTTCATTTTGGCGTTTTATTTTTTAATCGTTTGATTACATTTGCATGAATCGCTTATGTTTGAGAAAGGGAAAAGATTGTTTGGTCTGCGATTCATTAACCAACCTGAGAGTTTGGAAAAATTAAAGATAGTAAAGTAGAGCCAGGTTTATGTCATAGATTACATATGTCAACATTACAATAAGGTTTTTTTTTTTTTTTTTTTTTTTTTTTTTTTTTTTTAAAGAACACGATTAACGTATTTGTGGATTTTTTTTTCAGGACATTGCTACATACACGAAAACTGTTTGAAAGATTTTGAAATAAATTTGGAATTCCCTTGTCAGTTTTGCAACTCATCAAACCATGTGTATGAATTTTCTCCAAACTCAGGTTTGCATTCACTTTAGATTATATCCAATGTATCACAATTTTTCGAAGTACATTAAGTATGAACATGTCCATAAAATATGTCCTTGGTAACTGATTTGCTTATATATCTACAACTTCAAAATTACCTCAGAGCCCTCTTTTGAACATTTCTTTTAATATAGAAATTTGAAAGTAAATTTATTTTAAAAATAATTAATTCAAACTAGGCAATTAAATATTACTAAAATTGGATGCCAGATTTCCCACTGAAATATTCCTGGTTGGCATTTTTGCAGAAGTAGGATTTTTACCAGAATCATGTTCAGAATTTCCAAAAGACACAATAATTAGCTCTCCAGGACTTTAATTACAGTGCCTCAAGGACACGGTCTATACAACACATAATTTATATTAACTCTAGATCATTTTCAAAATCATAGTAAAATTCTGGAAAATTTCAGTTACTTTTTAAACAAAATTCATCTAAACATTCTACACAGGTATATTACTATAGAATCTATAATTCTGTGTATATCTGTCTTTGATTCCGAAAAACACATGTACAATGTTGTCATTCAAAACGAAATTTTCGTAAAAGTCTTTAATATTATTTTTAAATGCGATTTTACTAAAACTTGGTACATGATTATTCTACACTAAGCTTTAGATGCAGAATTATGTTTCTTGGTATGTTCTTGAAAGCAATGTTGCCATTCGACTTTAACTAGAAAGAATCACTTCATCCCTAAAGTGTCCTAAATACGAGGAATCCCGATCTTTCAATTTGTGACAGAACTTCATTGCTATTCTGAATTATGTCGAAGATTATGCCAGACTTCGGGTTAAATATTAAAAGGTGGACCTGAACACTTTGTCAGAATGAATTAAGTATTTTAGAAATATATTGAAGAATCAAATTAGACAGTTAGAAAGACTACAGAACAATAAGGTACGGTTCAACAAACAATACTTCGACAATATTGTCTGAGTTATTGTTACAGTATTTTTGAAGAATTTGCTTTTTAATTCCACGTCTGGAAATCCAACTAATGCTCACAGATAACTTTCTATGGCTGATATTAGTCAAAAATCACATTTCAGTGTTTACGCAGCTATGTTAAGGCTTCCCGAAGCTTTAAAATGCGCTCGAAACATAATATGTCATTGCGAGGTCAGTTTTGGTTTTAATTTATAAGCATTGAACTTTAGTACTTCCAATTTATATAGAGGGTTTCCTCGGCTATATATTAACATATTTGTTATGATATCACATGACGCGGCGCAGCTGATTAACACGATAATTATTAACATTTTGTTATATAAATAAACTCATCGTATCCTTGTGTATCCGAAATGTGCTTGGGAAAAGTCATAGTATTACTTAGTTACAAAATATTTCCTGAGAAATTCAACTTACCTACAAATTTGAGGATATTTTCCACACAATATCGTAATCTGTATTAAAACAAAGCCAACACACATTTTTCCCAAGCACGATTCAGTTAGAGAACAACCACTTCTTGCAGATTTTCACAAAAATTCTCAGATTAATCCTCATTAATCACCTGCGCCAGACTCTTTTATACACACAAAATAAATTCTACTCCAGCCACGGGTATAAAACAGAGTACATTTCAAAAGTATATTTTTCATAAACATTTTGAACATGCTGAATTTCAATCAAGGTTAGGTAAGCGGTGTATTTTTAAAATATTCGGACATATAAGACTGAAAAAACCTTTAACGACCCGTGAATTTTGCAATAGCTAACTAGCATTTTACATGCAGTTTGAAATAAAGTGTAAAGTTCATAACACTCTCCCCGTCATAACACCTCAAGTTTGCAGTGACTTGACGTCATTTTCCATTATGACGTCATATTTTGGTAGTTCAGAGATGTGAAGGCAAAGAGTGCACTGTTATATTCTACGGGAAGCCTTAACCTACCTGCGTAATACTTTAAACATTCCAGTCAAACAAGGTGACTTTGATATACTGGATTCCTAAACTTCCTTAAATCCCTTCAAACAAGGATACCTCGCCGGGTACAGAAATGCTTTACAAAGCCCTGTCTTTATTCCTTAGAAAAATATTAAATGTAGTTACATGTAAGGAGAAACTTAAGACGCACTGTGCTACAGCATATTCTTGAAGTAGTATAAATCAGATGGGATTTTCAGAAACTCCATGGAAGTATCACCATTTTTTTTTTAAACAACACATAAACGAACCTACTACACTTTATTAAACTATTCATCAGGAAAAACTAAAAACTAAGATTTTGATATCATAGACAACTGCTTCTACAATAAAAATGGAACTCAGAAATTTCGTATATTGTAATTGGTCATCAACAAAATAACTTTCTGAAAAATCACTCAGATTCTACACGCAGGTTCTCTGAACTTTGTATTAAAAGAATGCTGGAGTCTACGTAGAACAGTTCTTCCAACAAAATGGACACTAATTGTGTTGCTATGTTAGCCGACCTGTTTTTATATTCCCATGAAGCAGAATTTATTCAAAAATGTCTACATGAGAGGAAAAAAATCTCTTGCTTTGGCCTTCAAATCGACAGTGAGAAATATCGACGACGTTTTATCAATTAACATGGTTGATATTATTCATTTGTGATTTCAATATATCTCACTGAACTTGAAATAAAAGACACCACAGAATTTGTTTCATATTTGGGTGTATTACTGACTATAGTCGATAAAGGCCAAATGACAACTAAATTGTATGACAAATGAGATTACTTCAGCTTTTCTATCGTCAACTTTCTTTATTTATGCAGTAATATTCCGCTTCACCTGATATGCTGTACGTTTCTCATTTTATTTGATATTCAGGAGCATGTTCTGAGTACCATAACTTTTTCAACCGAGACAGAAAAGTTTGATGACATTGGGAAATCAAAAACTCATTTAAAGTTAGCATTTCGTAAATTCTATGGCCGTTATAATGTTCTTGCCAGCGAATATAACCTATCATTGGGTTGTATTTTTGCTGACTTTTTTTCATACCAATTGTTAAGCCTTTTTTATCATACTAAATATAACTACCAATTGTCCCGTCTACTTGATCAATACAAAGGGCTCATGGCGGGTGTTACCGGTCAACAGTGAAGCTTAGTCCTTCTAGGCACCTGATCCCACATCTGAAATTTCAGGATGTCCTTATTTTATGCTTTGTTTACAAATTTGTATTGTTTGTAGATTGTTTATGAGGTCGGTCACTGTTCGTTATCTTTACCTTGATATTCATTATAGGCATGGCAAAAATCTTTATGGCCAGATTACTTTAGGTCTATAAAAAAATCTATCGATTACTGATCCGGTCTCTGACTGTAGGGTTCATGCATGTTGTTATTTATTTCTCATACAGTATTTTAGTTCTAGTCAATGCAAGGACATGCAGTATGTAGAGATAGGAAGAACATTTTCATAAAGACAACCTATTCAGTTTGATTTTTCAACGCATTTTTGAGTTCTTTATCTCAAAATGTTATTTGACATTTTTCTTTACTTTTCATTGCAATGATAATGCGTAGTCTTCATCTTCTACTAGATATGCGTTTATTTAACACATTTCCATTGGAATAATAGAACAACTTGTCAATGATGCAATGTGAAAAAATCGAACAACAAGCTTTGAAAAATCAAAAGACTTTGAATCATACATCGATGCTTGCATTTCAATGTCCTCAAGGAAGAGTGTATATATACATACATGTATTCAAATGGTCTTAAAAGATAAAGATATAAAACATTCTGATATTGTACAGATGTAAATTATGTAAATTATGAATCTGATTTGACCTTCAATATATATATATATATATATATATATATATATATATATATATATATATATATATATATATATATATATATATATATATATATATATATATATATATATATATATATATATAGATAGATAGATAGATAGATAGATAGATAGATAGATAGATAGATAGATAGATAGATAGATATAGATATAGATATATATTACAAAAGAATGATTGCACTTAGTGTATAAAATGTGGACCCCGGAAAATTGTAAACATAGCTTTTTTAAAATGTATTTTTTTTGGGGGGGGGATTATGTAATTTCATTCAGAATAGGAATTTTTCGCTAATTTTGGTATATCATTTCGACACCTTTACAATAGTTTTTCTCATTTATAATGTAAATGTAATTTACCTTCATTCTATTGGAAAAAAGTATAAGGTAAAATTTCGCGAGTTTCCCTTTCTTTCTCACTTTGAAAAATCCCAATTATCGTGTACAAGAAAATATAAACGCCATAGCTACTCTGCATATCTATGAGATCTCTCTGAAGTTCAAATTCGGCGAGCGCAAGGTAGTCAATTCTCATCACTCAGTGGATTTAATTTACATGTTTACATGTACTACATTATGGCAGAGTTTGTAATGCATGATTTCACATGAACCATTCCTTTATCAAAGAGAAAAAAATATCTTATTTTACCAGTGAGGGTCGGTGAAAAGATAAAGTTGAAGTATCCTTTTCTTATATTAAGAGCGTGTGCATACAGAATATATCAGTCTTTATTTCATTCATTTTTGAACACTTAACAAGAAAGTTATTAAACACATGTTAAGGGAATATGAATGACATTACATGCGGAAATATCACTTCCTTATATTTATTGTGTAATTTTCTATTTTCAGCTTGTTTGTCTTCAAAAGCTGCAAAAGTTATAGAAGAATCCCCATTTTCAAATCCAACTTTTGTTGCAACTGTGTCCATAATAGGCATAATCTGTGTCATCACCATTGTTATAGTGATCATATACAGGATTAACATGTAAGTTTGTTTTCCCCTAAAAATGTCTTGTTATAATTCAATACAAATTGTTGTATGCATATTTTTCAAAGGAAATTGAAATTTAACGACGACAGACCTAATTCATTTCTGCAATAGATTTTTTATTCAAATTTTAATATGAGGTAAAGTGACTTTTGGTGAGTTAAAATCAAAAAAAAAAAATCATATGGTCATCGATGTAGATTTTTAATGCGGAGCGTTTCAAAAGTTGGCGATGGAAATCGATAATTACTATGGGAAGTAATGGGGTATTGCCATTGTAGGGTATAAGAGTGATCATTCAAAAAAATTCTGCAATAGAATTTTTATTCATATTAAAGGACAATATGAACAAGATAATTTACCAGCAAATTATGCCAAAAAATAAATGGATCATCGGCTTAGATTTTTTAGGGGGGCATGTCAAACTCAGGTGTAGGGCACATTTGGGAGAAATTTTCAATGAAAATGCCTTGGCCATTTAGTCATAAAATCAACAAATAAATATAAATTTAAAAAAAATTAAAATATTGTTGAGTTTGAATATCTTTAAAAGAATTAAAAATGTATATTTTTTATCTTTTGCAATACATAATTAAGTCAATTTGATTCAAGGCATACTGTATTAGGGGGAAAAAAACTCGCAGTGTAAATATTCGCTATATTCACGGTGTTGTTAAATCCGTGAATTCAAGAAACATTGAATAAGTTTTCAATAATTTTTTTTTTTTTTGGGGGGGGGGGGGGGGATATGCGTATAGACAACGATAGGTATATTTACGTACAGTAGTCATTCAGTAAGTATGATTGGTACTTGTCATTCAATTGTTTTAGTTATTAAGCTTTACTTAACTTAAATCAGCAGATAATGACCCGTATTTATTGTTGAAAAGCTGTTTTATTAGCTAACGCTTCATGTTTGATCAATCACTTGGGTGGTGGGTATTGATTACTGATTACCCATGCGTAACTAACATTAACACGCGTATTAGTTTTTCCGACATTTTGGTTCAAAAAATATTTATGAAAATAACTCTCGGACTTACCACAGATATGGAAGGATATTATTTTGTCACGTACTTTAACACAATTATTATCGTCGAGTGGTTATCTTTGCGATATGTTATTCCCTCGGAGAGAAAATCTTCGGTGGTACATGCACTCATCGTAATAGCATACAGGAAAGTCATTCGACGTTTATAGTCAAAGACGTTTAACGGCACTTGTTTTGTTTTATTGTAAATTAATTACCAAATCTAGCCACTTTATTTAAATCTCCCCGAGTATTGTTTATGAAGTGAATACATAACGATGATGAATGTCGTTCTGGATACAGCCAAGGGAGGTAATTTTTACTTTACACCAATTCCGAATTCATCAAACCGCGATCATGTCAGAGGAGAGAAAAACGTGAAAATTACAACCCGTGAAATTAATCCCGTATACAGTATGCGCGGTTTTCTGCGCAGTGGTACGAATTTTTCGAATTGGGTACGTCGTCCTTAACAGGACTTTTCAAACTGAAAAATTGATAATCAAGTCTACTTGATATTTATTTGAGTTACATTCTTTTTTGCAAACACATCAAAATTTATATCATTATTTGTAACAAAAAGGTACCTTAAAGATCAATAAAAATGCTTAATACATGTATGAATGCTACATTGACATCCAAAGATATCATTACAGAATAGCTTGGTTTACATTCATGATTTCAATTTCTTTATATGTACAAATTAAATGTTTCATATTTGGATATTTTACTTGAAAAAGACGTTAATGGTAATCTAACAACCAAGCTTTATGATAAACGTGATGCCTTTAACTTTTCAATCGTCAGCTTCCCTTACTTATGCAGCAATATACCTTCATCACCTGCATACGGGGTATATATCTCTCAATTGATTCGATACGCAAGAGCATGCTCTACGTATGTACAATTTCTAAAACGAGGTAAATTATTGACAAACAAGTTGATGAAACAAGAATATCATCTGTCTCGTTTAAAGTCATCATTTCGCAAGTTCTATGGTCGTTACAATGACCTTGTCAGCAAATACAATTTATCATTGAGCCAAATGCTGACTGACGTTTTTCATACTAATTGTTAGGCCTTTATTTACACACTCAATTGTCGACGGATTTTTCTGTTATTTCCCGATCATGACAAGGAGCACACGGCGGGTGTGACTGGTCGGCAGGGGATGCTCACTTCTCCATGGCACCTGATCCCACCTCTGATGTTTGGAGGTCCGTGTTTGCTCTGCTCCTATTTTGTATTGTATAATGGACTTTTGAGCTTGAATACTGTTCGTTATCTCCATATATTTCATGTATGAGAAAGATCTTTAAAATACTATGTTCAGGACAGTAATACCATATTTAGACGCTCGATCGATTTCTTGAAGTGTGGAAATTGTTATTATAAGAGGAAATTAGTCAATGTTTGTATGGAAATACAATTGAAAAACGTCTTTAGAAATTTAAATAGGATCATGATAAGTTTAAATATTATGCAGTTGATTCCTTAACGTTGATATTAATAATACAGGGACTTTTATCGCCAGCATTGTCGAGTTAAAATTGATGTTTTTAAAATTATAAATGCTAAAATCAAACTTCATGAATATGTCTAAAAGTCCATTTGATTGATGGTTTGTTGCTTTACGTCGTGACGCGGGGCCTCGGTTTTTAAGGTCTCATCCAAAGGACCCGCTACCTTCACTTCAAAGTGCCCAGAGCTTGGCGAAGGAATAATTGCTACCTATTTTTTTTTTTATCGACTTAGGTCAGTTGCGGCCGTGATTCAAACACACGACCTTCCGATCACGGAGCTATCGCTCTACCGACTGAGCTACCGTGGCGGTCTAAAGTCCATTGGAAGAAAATTTTTTCTTCGCTTCAGAGAATTTATGACTAGGGTAAAACCAATAAGAAGATCGATTAGAAGTTTCCTTTATTCTCACAAAAAAAGCCAGGATTCATCTTTTCCAAATGAAATTAAATGCTCCATTACTAATCTTAATTAAAAATTTTCCTGAACACTGCTTGTGGTTAAATTATCAAACCTTGATTAAGGTGTATCTAAACACCACAACTCCTCAAATAAATTAAAAAAGAACAATTAATGCATGTAGATTAAACGACATGGGTTAACATTGTTGCCAGTTTGATTTTAGGTCTTCTCAATCTTTCATGTCACGCAACTCACATTATATTTAGGTGAAGTTTCCATTGCTAATCCACGTTCTCTGCACTTGGACAAGCATTGGCAAAAATCTTACATCCTGTATACCTTCCAATATTTTCGTTATATTTTAAAATTATTTTTATTTAAACTTTGTAATAATAGTAGTCAACGTTATTATACATAAAATAAAAATGTAACACACACAGAAATGAATTACTGATGGTTCCTCTGTTGAATATTCTAAGATTTGGATAAAATACAGAAGAAAAAAAAGTTAGCAAAAAAAAAAATCCCAAAAAACAAAACAAAACAAAAACAAATAAACAAACGAAAACTAATATAATTTAAATGTACATACATTGTAATATAACAATCCGTGTATTGATCAATGAGGAAGGATTCAACTTTTGAAAATCACCTTACAACTACCACTTGGGTCCCAAATATATACAATTTCTTTATCTAAAATTAAAATATATTACTTATTTATATGTTTTTTTTTTTTTTTTTTTTTTTTTTTTTTTTTTTTTTTGGTCTAGTTCTTTTCGTTTAATTTTTCTGGAGTGTTTTCTGGTAGTGTTTTTTTTTCTGAAATACTCAATAACTTATATAATATTTATTTTTAGATTTTTATCTTTTCTATATTTAATATGAAATTAAGACATTTCATCCTAAATGTTTAATTTAAAGTAAAATTTAAGTAGATACATATTTTATGGTTGCATGCTTTCAGATAACTGTGTATTTTTATATCCTTCTTAGGAAATGGACTGATCTCTGCTCAACAGGAAATGAGGCCACATATGATGGAAATGTGGGATTAACCATTTACAAAAAAATTAACACAGAAGACTAATATTTTCCCAATACATTCATATTAAAATTACGTGATATATAAAATGTCGTTCATTGAATCAAGAAGAAATTACTAACTGCAAAAATATTTTTATATATTCATATATTTTTTATGAATATTGTTTTTAGATTTTACTGATATATTTTGGCTTGAATTAAGGAAATCATTCAATTAAAATAAATATAGCAAAAATGGAGATCACGATGAACTTTATGAAATTTAATCGATTCTGAAATTATATTTAATACAACCTCGGAAATTTTGCAAAATATAGAAGTGTCAAGAAAAAACTTTTTAAAAAATACAAATTTCTCCAAATGTAGGCCAAGAAATGCGTCATTAGTGTAATAACCCTTCTTATAAAACTGAAAATCGACAACATTGTTGCTAAATGTATTATTAATAATAATAATCATTAAGAAGTGTTATTTACGATAATCATTTACTTCAAAAAGTGACTCAACCAATTTCAGTAGTTTGTATATTAATATCTGCATTTTTTTTATCTGTCTTGCATTATATCAAGAACAAACATGTATTATATTTTTGTTAATCAGAAGAAAAAGTGTGTCTTATTGAAGGACACAATGCATAAAAAGTGGTTTTTATTATTATAAAATCATTTTCTTGGAAGAGTAGATTGAGACATGTCAAATCAAATCGGACAATTTTGTTAGGTTTTGTTTCTATGTTTGTTCGTTAACTTCACTCCCGAGATTTTTGCACTCATATGAAGACGCCACCATTTGCTGGCGGAGGGCCGCAAATTGACCTATACTCGGCATTTTAGGCTATTGAGCAGTGAGGGATCTTTTTCGTGACAGACCAACTGCGTCACGAGTCCTTGGTTTATACGGTTTTATCCGAATAACCGGTCTCCACGTCCCACAATAAGATTCGCACCCGCGATGTAAGGTTCAACTCTTACTCTGCGACTCTAGTGCAAACAACCTAACCACTGTGCCACGCCTGTATAACGTAAAATTTCTTACCCGGTTTAAAAATCGACACGGGGGGTGGGGGGTGGGGGGGTCATTTTCTAACGTTGAATATTAAATTTAGACCCTACACTGTAGTTCGATGAAAATTGATTCAACAAATAGGAATACATATTAATGAATTGATATTCTCAATTATGATTTATTCAATTAAGAACTTAGGCTTAATTCATATTTTTATTCTTTAGATTAAAATGTTAATATTTTCAATTTTTAATGGACAATTTCATGCAGTCTGTACAAAACATGAAGCACTTTAACTTAAAATATAACAGAAGTTTAATTATAGTGAATTTTCGCGTATAATTGCAATGTTTTATGTAATATTATATCGGAAGAAATACAGTCTATGTCTAAAAGAAGAATGTTATAGTATACATGGTTACACAATATACCTTTTAGTTCAGATATACGTTTGTATATGAGGCATGATGCATGTGCATTTTTATTCATACTCAGTCATGTACAAGGTTAATAACTATATGTATATCCATCTTGTAAACCGGGATTTTTTTATAACTTAAATTGGTCTTTTCAGGACTTTCACTTCACTTCACCAAACAGTTAAACAACATTTCTGTGACGATATACTGTTGTTGCACTTCGTTTTTTTTTCTGTATGAATCTTAAGTATCGATCAATTTTTTGTAAATACTGAATAAATATACAAACTTTTTTCTTATATTTTATTTTTTATAAACACAATATATGTCGACAGGGGATGCTCACTCTTCCATAGCACCTGATCCCACCTCTGATGTTTTGGAAGTCCTTGTTTGCTCTGCACCTATTTTGTAATGTTTAATGGACTTTTGAGCTTGAATACTGTTCGTTATCTCCATATATTTCATATCAAACTTCAGGTCCTTTCATGAAGACTACTCTGTAATACCCTGAAACACGATAAAATTATTTTTGCACTATTTAGGCCTATACCTCTGTATTTTTAACAATGTTTTCTTAGTCCTCTGAATCTGTAATTATTCTGCCGCTCACTTCGAATGATTACAAGTTTCAGCAGACAGATAGATAACAGTTTATTACGATCCTCAAAAGCTACAAACAAAACACAAACAAACATAAAAAAGTGCGATAACAAAATAAACTGAAAGTACACACACGTGAATGTACAGATATAAACATTAGTTATTTATCGAAAGAACACTGCAATAAATTCACTTAAACTGATGAAACGTGATATACAAGGTTTCTTTAAGTTATTCACACTAAATTACTTACACTGTAAGGGCCGTAAAGTGCAACAAATATGACAAAGAACGGGTAAGACAATGTCTTCTAGAATTTGGCGCTAGATTGCCTGATTATGAAAACACATACAGTACCGACCGGACACAACCTAACACCAGAGCGAACCCAAAGCGCACCCCGGGTTCGCTTCCTGGGTTCGCTCGGGGTCCGCTGCGGGTTCGCTTTCAGAAAAGTTGGGACCGCTCTGGGTGCGCTTCGGGTTCGCTCTGCGTTCGCTCGGGGTCAGCTCTGGGTCCGCGAGAGCGAACCCGGCGTTCGCTTTCCGGGTTCGCTTTACGCACTCATGCGTGAAGCGGACCCCGCTTTAATCTTACCGCCAGTAAGCCCCGCCCCTTGTATATTCCAAATATAGTAGTGAAATCGATCATTACTGTTTTTATGGCGATCGAAACATGTACATGTAAGTGACAATATGGAGAACGTTGATATTTTTTCAAGAATTTCACCATACATTCGACGTAGAATTTTCACTTTTATTTTTCTTAACTTACAAGCTAAGTATATCTCGAAAGAAATAAAAAGGTGTTAAATTTATTTTCGATGTATCAGATGGAGTGAAATTGATAAGAGTATCTTAATAAAAAAAGCTTTCAAATTCATTTGTTTATATTATTCATGCATTTTAAAATAAGTTGGAACTTGCAATTGTAATTGCAATTGCTAAATCGTAATTTAAATGTTTGAAAGACAAATAACTGAATTACGATCTTGTCTATAAAATAGCTGTGACATACTGTACACGAAAAATGCTAAGTTTTCATATTTAGCAGTTTATATTTAAGCTAGGTTGTCGTCCATTACCTGTATTATTATGTAGGTCGTGATAATCACAAAAAATTCTCATACAGTGTAACTTGAGTTTCGTTTTACAGATCATTTATAATTTACTTCCATGCTATAAATCATTGTTTTATTAGGCGAGTTTAACGGAAGATTTATAAAAAAACAACAACAAACAAAAAACCAAAACAAACAAACAAAAACTAATAACTGGTCCACTGATAAGAATATATATATTTTTTAAGTTGTTTTCAAATACATGTAATTGATCACTTGAATAGTTTGTATTCCTTACTGGTTCATAATCCCCCCCCCCCCCGCCCCATTACATACATGTACATACTGGAGCGGCATGTTAACAAACAAAATTCTAAATGTTTAAAAATAAATAAATACAAGAAAGAAAACAAACAAAACAAGAATACATTAACTGTAAACTCGCATGATTAAGTAGATGAAATTAAGATAATAACGGCCGATGTTTGTTTGTTTGTTTGTTTTTTTTTTATTGTTTTATTTTGATGAGCCCCCCCCCCCCTCTCCGTACTTGAATTGTTTTCTATGGGCCAGTTGTATCGATTTTAATTTCAAATAATATACAGTGTTCTCTCTCTCTCTCTCTCTCTCTCTCTCTCTCTCTCTCTCTCTCTCTCTCTCTCGTAAAGCTATTTTACTGATTTTCAGCATTCAGGTGACAGCAAATTACATTCATTGAACATGTACTCTTAATGCAACGTACCAAAGAACTATGACGTTTCCAAATTCAAAAATGAAAAAAAAAATAAGAATAAGAATTGAATTTCTCATTGAAAACGTGCCCAGACGAGGTACATGTAACTTAAGGGGCATCGAATGTAGGGGGAGTATATACTCAGGTATACCGTGACCATGGAGACAGTATACATCCAGCCAGCAAGTGTCAATTAAAAAAACCCCACAGCAATTGCTCTTAATACCCGCAATATTTTCGAAACAGGTGGATGATTACCGATACGTGATGACCTTGGCTTCACTTTGAAAGTACAATTATTAAAGTGTTGAAATTATATAATTATGACAATTACAAGGTTCAAATACAGGTACCTATGTAATGAAAAAATATATGTAAGTTTTCGTATTAAGGTATATTTGCAAGTTCAATTTATTAATGTTGGAATTACGTGCACAAGTACAAAACGTACCCGTCTTATCACCGTGTTTTGGGGGGTTGGGGGCTGTAGTGATAACTAAGATTTCTAAACCTGAAAAACAGGACCGTATAGCTAGTATAATTTTTATGTTCATATAAAGTATTTCGAGAATTACATGTAGTACATGTAAGAGGATCGTGAACATGTAAACCTGTGTAATTATATATATCGACGCGAAGGAAAGTGATAAGCATTTTTGCGTTTTTTTGTTTGTTTGTTTGTTTGTTTGTTTGTTTGTTTTTTTTTTTTTTTTTTTTTGACTGACTTGCAAGTAGTTACAAAAATTCAGAAACATACAATGTAAGGTCTACATGTATGATAATTAAAATTGACAAAATAATCTTTCCTTGTATACATGTATTTAAATCAAGCTATTTATTAAATTTTGGTAAAAGATTAATTTAAAAAAAAATATCATAGTAGTTAAATGAGATTTTTTTCTCCAATTTACGTATTGACATAGTGCACATTTATTCTGTACAATGTACATTTAATTTTTTTTCATGATCAATTATTAAGATCGATATTTTCGAAGTTGATCTGGATAAATTAAAACGTGCATGTAAATTGAAATAATTAATAAAAAAATAATTAACTTAAAGCACGTACATGTTCTTATACTAACTGTTCTTATACTTATGTTCTTATACTATATCTTGAGATAATAAAATTCTATAATTTATCGAAGACCATTTTTTTTTCTTTTCTTCTTTTTTTTTATAACATATATTATAACCATTATTATCTTCTTTTTTCTATTATAAATTAAAGTACTTATTGTCTGATAAATTTACGCAATGTATATTTATATGTTAATGGATTTTAGAAATATAAAGAAAATAAATATTTAACTATATATGTAACATGCTACCTGGATAATAAAAATATATAATGTATCAATAGATTTTAAAGATAAAAAATAATGAAAATAGATGTGTAAATATTGCATGTTGTCTGGAGAATTAAAGTATATGAATGTAAAATCATGTTTAAAAATCATATTAATAATATTTTTACACTGTACGTTCACACGCTTTGCTTGTACAATGTTTAGATTATAAACTGGCATGTTGACTGGTCGATGCGCTGATGGTCAACGCATTTTATCACTTATCCTGATTGACAGACCTGTTCGGCATGTTGATTGGTCGAAGCGCTGATGAGTTAATCGATAATCCTGATTGACAGCTCTGTTACGCAATACCGAACGCGCGTTCGCTTTCTGGGACCGCTACTGAATTTGGGGTTCGCTTTCTGCGTTCGCTCTGGGTCCGCTCTGGGTTCGCTGTGGGTTCGCTACGGGTGCGCTCCGGGTTCGCTCGGGGTCAGCACTAGCGGACCCCAAGCGAACCCCAAGCGAACCCAGAGAGCGAACCCGGGGTGCGCTCTGAGTTCGCTTTTGTTAGGTTGTGTCTGGTCGGTACTGTATAAAGTCATGTACAAACATCGTGATAAAGCTTACAATGCGGATATAAACGGACCTGATAGGAACGGAGGGTGTTCCATTACACTCCCCGTCCGGTATCTGCAAGATATCGCCTTCAGGTCTACGGGTGCAAGGTGACTAGCTCTTAACATAAGCACGAGAAAACCTACAAATCACAAGAAAATTGCAATCCTATCACTATGAACAATAAAACACTTGAGCATTTTGTTACATCACTAGATTGGTAACGTTAATATCATGAAATGACTAGGCATCATACAAGTCTAGAAATGAATATCACCTTATTTGTTTAACATCTGAATACTCAATACAGAACAAACTAACGGAACATATATACAGTCTGAGACATCGACTTCTGTTCATGAGACTAGTTTATCAAGAGCACCATTTCGGTTATTAGACGGGTGAGTACCACTGGTTTTCCATCTCTAATTATGCAAATCCGCACCTTGCGAACAAGGTCGTCCGGATCACTGGGGAAAACACTTTCAACGATGCCAACCGGCCACTGGAATCTGGCTAAACCCGAGTCTTTAAGTAAGACCACATCACCTATCTTAATGTTTGGTCGTTCCTCTGTCCACTTTTGACGGGTTTGGTGATTCTGAAGGAACTCTTCTCTCCACTGTTCCCAGAAAGTGTTTCTTAAGATCTGAACATGACGCCACTGTGCTATGTATATGTCCTTGATATCTGCAATCCTTTGTGTAAGGAGCAAAGAAGCACTCAGAATCTTGGGTGCGTCTGAGTCCTGCGATATGGCTGAAATTGGTTTAGAGTTAATTATAGCACAGACTTCAGCCATCAGTGTGACCAGGACTTCATGGGTGATAATATTCCCTTGTTTTAGGAACAAAGCGTCCAGGATCCTTCTTGCTATGTCAATCATGCGTTCCCACACTCCACCCATATGGGAGGAGTTTGGTGCATAAAAGATCCACTTTGTTCTGGAACTGTTCAACTGCCCTTTGAACGGTCCCTCCTCTACATCTGTTCTCATCTCGTCTGCCGCTCCAACAAAGTTGGTGCCCCTGTCTGATCATGCGTTCCCACACTCCACCCATATGGGAGGAGTTTGGTGCATAAAAGATCCACTTTGTTCTGGAACTGTTCAACTGCCCTTTGAACGGTCCCTCCTCTACATCTGTTCTCATCTCGTCTGCCGCTCCAACAAAGTTGGTACCCCTGTCTGACCCCTTACTTCCCCTCTATTGCTCCGACTAAGGTGTGCCAATTACTGAATCTGTCGAATGTGGTCACAAAATTTTCCTTCAGTGCACAAGTGGTCGTCTTTGCCTCAACTCTGATTTTTTTGTCCATTTCAGGCGACACAAGTGGGTAAACTTGTGGAACGTCATCCGTGTGATAATGGGTATCCTTTAAAGTGATTTGTATGTTCTCTCTTACAATTTCCCCTATTTCCGTAGCTAAGAGAGCTGCACAGAGCTCGAGATGTGGTATTGTGTGGCCCTTGGAGGGAGCCAATTTTGCCTTTCCCAAGACGAAGGAAACGTCGGTCCTCCCGTTGTAACAGGCTTTGAGATATGCTATCGCTGATACTGCCACTTCTAAAGCATCTGAGAAGATGTGCAGTTGTACTCAGTTCAAGTGGCTCAATGATTCTTCAAAATACATTCGTGGGACAACTACACTTTCCAACAAGGATAATGAGTTTTTCCACACATTCCATTTCCTGGTTGCGTCCGGTTCTAGATCCTCATCCCAGTTCATGGAGTTTGTTATCTCATGAAGAAGGATCTTCCCTTGAATGAGCATTGGAGCAACAAACCCTAATGGGTCATACAAGTAGAAACTGTTCAACGTAGACAAGCAACCTCGTCGTGTGTCTGGCTTTTCTTCGAGTTGTATCTGGAAGGTAAAGGTGTCATACTGCAAGTCCCAAGACAAGCCTAAGCTCTGGTGAACAGGAAGCGTATTCTTTTTCAAGTTAAGCGATACCATCTCTTCACACAAATCCTCCCGAGGAAAGACGTTCATAACTGTGGGCTCGTTGGATGCAATCTTATGAAGACGAGGATTGCTTTCCTTCTTCAGCGCCGTCTGGGTCCTCTTTAATAAGCTCACTGCTGCTTCCACTGAAGGCACAGATGTTAAACCATCATCCACATAAAAGTTGTGGACTACAAGGTCCTTAGGAGGAACCTTAAATAATCTCTCTGATGCTCCTTGACAAAGAATGAGTTAAACATGTGTTCAATGTCCGCTACAATGGCACACTTGTCTTTTCGGAAACGAATCAAGATCCCCTGAAGGTTGTTTGTAAAATTGGGTCCAGTGATGAGAGCTTTGTTTAAAGATGTCCCATTGTATTCTGCTGAGGAATCAAAGACGCCACGGGATCTTTTCTGGCTTTTTAGGGTGATATACACCAAAGAGTGGTAGATACCAGACCACTTTTCCTTGCTCTAGGGATAGTGCAACTTCTGCTGCTCCCGATTCCAGGACTTTATTCATGAATTCCACAAAGTGTTCGCGCTTAGTTGAGTTCTTGCATAGACTTTCCCCTAACAAGTCCGCTCTCTTTTCTGCTTGAGACCTGTTGTTTGGCAAAGGTTTACGAGGGAGGCGAAAGGGTAAGGGAGCCAACCAGTTTCCCTTCTCATCACGGTGCATCTCCTTGTTCATGATTTGAAGAAAATCTCGATCTTCCACTGACAACCCTAAAGAGTTGCGCAGCTCTGTTAAGGCTGCATAAAGGGGGGCGGGGCCTAATTTATACGGGAAATGTCTACTGTGACATCACACAAATATAGCAATTCCTCAAAACAACAGAAAATAAAATAATTTGAGGTTTTAAGCTGCATAAGAGTGATAAACTACATCAAAACTTACCACTGCATTCATTTTTGTCGCTAGTTAAATTCCACACAGCAAGATATAAACAAGTCACTGATCGCAATGCACTTGTCGACATGACGTCATCATGGTAGAATTTGACGCATTTTATGTGCAGTGAGAGGCGGATCAATTAATTTAACCACAGTGGAAAACGCATTTTATTATTAAACAGAATATTATTTGCAAATCTTAGGTAGACCATTAATACAAATCTGAAACCTTTGTTTAGTGCCATTATTGAAAAACTATCGAGAGAATGTATTGAATTAATTCTACCGTGTTTTTTGTGTACTGGGTGTGCATGTTTCACGCCGAGGTGCCTCAATAAATCGCCTTTTCGCAAGGGCATACACTTAATAGATCTTGACAATTTTTTTTTAAATATGCATAACGGAAACATTCCTTAACTTGAAAAATGCTGCTGCTTTCCTGAAATCGAGAGCATTACTAAATAAATAAATAAAATAAATGGTAAAGGTCACACATATTTCGACTAGAGCCAAATAACTTGAAATTTAAACTAGTAAAATACAAATTCTATTTAAAGCAGCAGCACTTTTCATAAACTACAAGATATATAGATACAATTTATTACTGAAATTTTTAATTTTAACTAGGGTATGCCCTTGCGATATTGAAATTTGTTGATGACCTACATACAGTACACATTAAATGCATTTATCACGTGACTGTCAAATAACGTGACCAAACCAAATTCCGTACAGAGCTGGGTATACTATGTTATTTCAATTAATATTAAAGTCATATGATAATATACTAGCTTTACAAAAATGAATTCTGTTTAAAAAGGTATGTATTTATGCACGTTTATATTCCGTTGATTTCTTCGTAGTACGCCTTAACAGTCCTGACTGACATGCCTGTGGGACATGGTTCGAAAAATGTAGTTCGGCCATTCCTCAACACGTGTGTTTTCTTGCTGTTTATATAGATTTGCTGTCCAGGTTTGTGGACCCTTTCCAAGCAGACTTCCCTTATCATAACCCATCCTAAAGACAGTTTCTGGGCAAATGGCATGTCCTTTTCCCCAATGATTTGCTCCAATACATGGTGAACTTCCATAACATCCCGACCATTCAGGAGTCCAATTTGTATGCGGAGGTCGTAGGGAGGTATGAAATCCTTGATCACCTCCAGGTGTTGGTAGTGTCCCGCTATTTTAGGTATTGGAATATCGGAGACGTCCCTGGAAATATCTGGGCACGCTATCACAGTAAGGAGTCTGATATTGCAGCTCTGGTCCATAGACAATGAGGTCATGAGCGACTCTTCCAATCATCTGACAGCTTCCTGAACAGGAGCTCACCTGTATGGTGTCTCCGCTGTATTGACTCCAAGGGCGTCCAGCAATTCTTGACTAGCCAGAGTACGGTTACAGTGCCCATCCAGCATGGCGTATACGATTTCCTGCCTTCCAGGGGTACTGTATCCTAACCGCTAGGGTTTTGGCACAAGAGTGTCCTTTGAAGCCTTCCCCACATACGGCTGTACATAAAGAGCTTACGGTAGGGGTGGAAGCTTGCCCCCCACCATGAGGACTGTTCACTTTCCAAGCAGATTGTGGTTTTGCATCTGTGTCAGGCTTTGGTACATGCATAATAGTAATATGCGATGAATCGTTGCATTCACCACCCCTCACGGAGGTTTTGCAGTCTCTCTTGGTGTGATCTGTCCTGCAACATCTGAAACATGCCTTCTGCTCCCTTAGAAATTCCAGTCTCTCTTCCATGGGCTTTTTTTTTCGAACACTTTGCAATCCTCCAAGGAGTGTGACATAGACTTAGGGTGCATAGGACATGCAGGTTTTAAGTCTGTTTCCTTAGAGGACACAAATAACTGTCTCTGAGTCTCCCTAGGAAGTCGCGGGACAGGGTCTGTAGCACGTGACTGTTCAAAGGCAAAGCTTGGGTCATTGAGTGCTGAACACATTTCGCCAATATAAGAGGAAAAATAAGAAAATGGAGGAAAGGTTACTCTATTAACATTCTTATATCTCACTGCTCGATCCATGCATTTGTTCTGTAGGAAAGGTGGAAGTTTGGAAATGATTGGGTTCACTCCTCCAGAAGTGTCATAGAATGACTGCAACGCAGAATTTTTTCGGGTCTTCTTTGAGGCAAAGGATTTCTGACAGCATGTCGACCAAGTCGTACAGTTTGCGTGTGTCCTTGGGAAATTGCAGACGTGGGAATCCTGATATCTTTTTGTGTAGAGTGCTCACTATCAGTTCTGGAACTCCGTATCTTTTGTCAAGTCTATCTCATATGCGCCTTAAGCCCCTCACAGGATTATGAATATTAGCGGTTCTTAAGCTAAGGGCTTGTTTAGATGATTCTTTCCCTAACTATTTCACAAGCAGATCTGTTTCCTCTTAAGGCGTTACATTAAGGTCATCGACAAAACTCTTGAATGAAGCCTTCCATACCGAATATGTTGCCGGATCATCGTTAAAGCATGTGAAACGATTCATAATGAGATCCTTCTTGAGCAGAAAATTGTGAAAGTCAGAGTCTGAGTGTTCTGTATCACTAGATTTGGAGCAGATGGCGTAGGTTGTAGATGGTAATTTGGCAATCCACGTAGGTGGTTCAAAAGGGTTAACAGGTTTTGGGCCGGTATTGTTCACTCTGCTCACATATGGTTCCGCTTCTGGGTTAAGGTTGAAGCCTGAGGTAGCATTCCTCTCAACAAAGTCTCTAGTTTTCTGATGTCTAGTGATGGAGGGTAGATCTAGTAGCATATTGTCCTCTACATGGCCATCTAGTGCTGCTTCTACCTCTGCTACTTCTTGTTTGATCTTGATGATCTACATTTTAGTGTTTATCTCACTTTTTCTTCTTTCAAGATTGGCTGCAGCGACCATTTCCTCTTCCTTTAACTGAGCCTCCTTCAACTTGAGTTCAGCTGCCTCTTCAGCGAATAGGAGTCTGGTTAATGAAACTTTATGTTGTGATTTCACACTTCTTCTATCCAAAGAACTTCCACTCCTTGACATAGAGTCACTATTCAAGAGCTTGATGATGTATTCTGCCTTCTCCACGGCGCTTTTAACTTTTGAGTTTAGTGCCTCAAAATCCTTATTTCTTTCCTCTATCTCCTTTAGGCTATCCACAGTATTGG